GGAAGAGGTAGGAGGTAAGTCCAAGAAGGTTAGGGATGTTCAAGCAGACGTTTGGCTGCGAATGCGGCAGGAATCTTGGCACCGAGTATTGAAGTGACTACTCGCAGCGGTGGAGAACAAAAATACAATCCTCTCACTATTGTCCCAAAATTGGTTGGCCGTAGGCTTATGACTGCATAGTCATCATCCATGCGGCTCTTGGAACATCTTAGAACTATTCCAGCTCCTTGTGGGTGAGAACCAGGGCTTCAAAGGCTGGTAAGTCAGCATTGCATCACAGCCGCATGAAGCCTGCAACCCATGAAACCCATGGCCCTCCCGAGTTCTCGGCTGCAGGTGATCGACCCGATCGGGGATCGGTCGGGTTGAGGTCTCTGAAGATTCGGCGACTGCGCGAAGTGCTACCTGTTCGGAGACCTGAGAGCTCGGGGGAGGATTGCACCTCTGCGCCCTGGCACCGATCACTCCTTCACCTTCAGTGCATTGGCATTGGCGTCTGCGGGACCCTTTGGTGGCAGAGGGAGGTCTTGATGAGGCTTTCAATACCCAGTTTCAACCCATACCTTGGTAATTTGGAGTTTTGCACCAAGGATTGACTACATATAACTAGTAGTAGCAAGAAGCTAGTAGGAACAAGTGCATCGCTACTAGTAACAAGTGCCTTACTAGTGTAACAAGAAGCTTTTAGAAACAAGTGCCTCGCTAGTAGTAACAGAACAGAACTCCAAACTGCGCAGCAACTTTCAAGAAAACATACACGGCGTGTGCAACAGATTCCAAGTCCTGCGATAATATACATAGGTTTCCTTTTATAAGAGTCAAGGCAATCTCGGACATGTGGTGTCCAAAATACTCAAAATAAGGTGTGTTCCATTTTGGATCTTTTCGTTCGTTTGCCATGTTTGACTGGTGTTCTCAAAAAGAAGAGCTTCCCACACATCCATTCCCTGCCAAGGGCCCAACTTTGCTCAGGCGGGTGCTGAGGATCACTGAAGCTTTTTGGGGAATGAGATTGGCCTGCTGTTGCAGGGTTCCTGTAGATAGGGATCATGTCAAGTATCTTTCAGAGGTAATTTGTACTTAGGGCCGGGTTTGAACAAGGAAAACGACTAGCAAAACCTGGCCACACCGACATCTGACGTCGAAATCAATGTGCTGCTTTGGGATCCACTTGATTCTCCCTGCCTGGACTAGAAACATATCTCCTTTGGAGGTTTTGGTGATCCAAAAGAATCTGTTGTGACATGAGGTCGGCTGCTGGATGTCGCTGGTATGGGTTTGCAATGGTGCATGGTTTGAACTTCATCTCCCATTGGCAGAATCCATACAAATCCAAGTTCAGATGATGTCAGTAGAGATCAGTAGAGGGCCAATCCAAGTAGAACGAATGAGTTCAGCGGAGTGAGGCCTTGGCTCAGCCAAAGAGAGCCAAAAGCATCTCAACCATTCGCTTAGCCATTGGCTTCTCTCGTTTTGTTTGGAGGCAGATGAAATTGTGCGTCTCTCCCTACGATACCCCATGTCTATGAAATTTGGTTCAGGTCTACCCCATGTTTGTTGCTTCTTCAGGCGTGCTAGCTCTGCACCCCAATTGAGCTGGCGAGAGGTTTACGAGCAGCGGGGTACCCCAGGTCAAGGAAGCGGGTGGGATCGAGTGAAATGAAAATAAATGAAATCTCAACATGCTATAAGTGAAATGAAAATAAAATGATCCATTTTATTGAGTTCAAAGAGAGAGCACTGTGGGACTGAGATGGGTTCCAAAAGCTCACAGGATGTCAGTTGGAGAGAAGTGGCCTAGGCATGGAGAGGTGCCTGAAGCGCGGCCGGTTGGTGCAATCAGGCTGGCACAGGGGTGCGTTGTGCCAAAGGGGATCGTCTCACCACAGGTTTCCACCTAAGAAGAATGTGTCCTCAGGCGCAAGTTGACACTGACACATGCTGGTACTATGCTGAATGACACATTATCATTTGAATATACCTCCATAAAGACAACTGCTCCTGTCTTCTTGCGTGCACTCATTTGAACAAGTTTACCACGATTTGGTTGAGCTGGATATCGACAGCTACTCGACATTGTGGTCAAGAAGAGATAGAGAATTCTACGTTCTTAAATGGATTGTGTTTTTCAAAAACTGCCAGTGAGATTAACAACTCGGAACTAGAACCTACAAAAGGGGGAGATGTGACAAGACTGTTTGCTGGCTCCAGCTAGGTAATTAGCAAAAGTCTTTCAGGGCTTTGGTTTGGTTTTGTCGGGAACCACGATTTCTTAAAAGCTAGGGTCAACTTACCCAGCTGTCGCCTGGCCCAGAGACACAACATTACTCCAATTCTCCTTGTGAGTAGTGGACATGTATCACAAAATACACTGATGTTGTAGAGGAGAATTGTTCACCACGTCCTTTCAAGATCTTCTTTTTCAAGGTCCAAGAAAAGTTTCGAGAGTGAAAGCCGTATTCCACCTCAAGACGGCCCCCCACTGATGTCATTGGACAATTTGCCACAGGAGGTGTCGAAAGGCGCAGGCCAGTCCGCTAATTTGGAGAGAGAGAGAGAGACTAGGTTCCATGGTGAGCAAGCCCAAAAGCACAGGGTGTTTCAGCCTGCTGGCCTTCCTGGAAATGCAACCCCAACGAGTCAGACTGAGACTTGGATCACTGGATCACTTAGATCAAGGTTTGCATGCTTGCCCCTGGTTCACTGGTTCACCCTGCTCGATTTGGAACCCTTATGTAAACAAAACGATGTCCCGTTGTTCTGGTCAGTTCCACCTTCGCGAAACGGCGTAGTTCCAAAGACGGCCTGCACTGGGCCGATCCATAGCGTGGCCATGTACAACAGGTTTTGCTTGACTTTGCTACCTAGTAAAGACCAAAAATTGGAACCACTAGTTGTTGCATTCCACCAGGTAGGTTCTGGTGCTACACCTCAGTCCTCCTATATATGATCCTGGATTTGATCCTGCCAGGCAGGCCCACAAGCCCCCGCACAACCTTTTGTTGCGTTGCCCACGCATGGAGTCTCAGGTTTCGGGAAATGGTCGAACACAGAAGTCATCCAAGCACTTCAGAAAACAAAAAGCGTTTCTCCAATCAATCTCATTCATTGGTTCCACGAGCTACTTGCTGGAATGATTCGGAAAGCTTTGGAGACTGTGCTAGGAGTTGTTGTCACGAAGCGCTAAAGGGGGGTGGCTTCAACTGTCTTGGCCTATGTGGTGCGGGCTTCTTGCAGCAGAAGTACCAGTAGTGGTATGCAGTGGTCATTTGGGAGTTGCATAGTTTGAGTCCGTCCTATTACCCATAACAGTCAGTAAACTATTGTTGAACAAGGCCTTTACTAACCATCATCATCCACTGTTACTGGTAATAGGATAGATCCAATGCATAGTGGTAGTAGTAGTAGTAGGAGTAGGAGTAGTAGTAGTGGTAGTGGTAGTGGTAGGAGTAGGAGTAGGAGTAGGAGTAAAAGCAGCAGCAGCAGCAACAACAACAACAGCAGTAGCAGTAGCAGTAGTAGTTAGTAGTTAGTAGTATGTGTTAAAATTGCTCTTTTGGGGACTTGAAATGCTCGTGCGGGCAGTCTGTGTTTGCATCCACCCCAGTACCTCCAATGGATGCAACCACCATGAGATACGGTTAATTACGGTTATGGGAAGTAACAAATGCCCAACGAAAGGATGCTCGAATGCCAGCTGCATGTTTATAGTGTTCGAAGTTCGTAGTGTTTGTTTTTTGTCCTTTTCGTTTGAGAGATCTAAATGCCACTGCCACTGTTCCGCTCCTGTCTCAACCCGACAGACACCTGACTTAATCCATAATCTTTTTGCCAAGCCTTACTCTGAGGCCCTTGGTGAAGATATCGGTTGCCCGAAAGGACTCCAGGCTGGGCGCTTCATCACCTGATAGCTGCTGGGCCGCTGTGTTCTTTTGCATCTTTTGCCAAGCATGTTGCAGATGGGAAGATTATTCATGATGGTCCAGTGAAGAGCGGATAAGACTTGCGCAAGAACCTCAATCGGGCGGCTCATGGCTTTTGGAGGAAGCAGCCAGACACAGAAGTTCGCCTTGGAAGAAGGAGAGCCATTGACATGGGAATTTGTTGTTTTCCACATTTGAGTGCCAATCACCTGTATTACACTGCATGTGATGGTTCACATCCATATTCCCTTTGGTTAGGGTGATTTGGAGGTTAAGCTAGACAAGTCAGTCATTGAAACTGGCGCCAGGATGGCTACACGGCCTTCGAGAAAGCCAGCGTGTGCTTGAGATCCGTTGCATAGCTTTGCATGATGGTTGAACGAAGAACCGAAGAAGTACTTGGGTCCCTACATGAAGCCAGCAGTTCGAGTAAACGTGGTTGATTGATTTTTATCACCAAGTGCGCTCACTTCGAACATGTGTCCAACTCAATTCTCGGTTCTTCACAACCAGTAATTTGAGTTTTTCATGCATGGTGTTCCCTTCCAGCCGGTAGAGATAGAGTGTTCTGGAGATGGAAAGGGGGTTCCACACCAAGATAGATTTGATGAAGATTGAGACGAACGTAAATTGAGAGGGAACACTGACCCAGCTGGTGTTAAGCTCGGGAAAATGTGTTTGCCTGGTATGTACCTGATTTCCCAAGACAAGTTCCGGTGCAAGCATTTTTGGACCGGTTTGATGCCCTGTTCTCGTGTTCTTTGCGCAAAGGAGAACAGCATGGTTAAATAAGAACCGCCACAACCGTGTATGTAAGCTTTTTGTTTCTAATAGCTTCTTGTTACTACTAGTAAGGCACCTGTTCCTAGTAGCGTGGCACTTGTTCCTAGTAGCGAACCTTGTTTCTACACCCGCAAGTCCGAAATCCTCAAAAGGCAGGTGTGAGTGACAGGGCAAATCAAAGCGTCCAGCCCACAAAAGCCCAGATGATTTGGTCGCAGTTTTAGCTGCCTTTGTTGGTCATGGTTTAGCATGCACACCCCGCACGCTTGCTGGTTCATGTTGGTTCTGTTGCAGGATGGGGTGCTGGTCATCATCGACTGGGGGTCCGGGTCCAAGTGGACAATAGTTTTAGTTTAGATATATATCTAAGTTTAGGCTTACACAGTAGGAATACGAGGAAAGTCGTAGGAATAGTCTATTCATGATGTTTCATTATCTATACTAAACTGCTGTTGTTTGCTTTCACTTACTGTATGGTAATGCCAAGACGTTGAAGTTGTCCAGATTTTTGATCTAAATTTCATTGGACGTTGGAAAACGATACACCTCACACATGACATGTTGTTTCGGGGCTACTTCAAAGAGGCCGCAGTCAAAGGAGATGCACACAGATGTGAGTGAGAGAGGGCAGTAGGGATGTCAATCCGAACCCTACTGCCTACATACTGCTGTGGTTGATACCTACAATCAAATGTTGAAGTCCTGGCGATGTCGCTTTTGGTTGGGGAGAAGACAAGGCAGAGGAGGCAAACAAAACGCCGATCAAGCAAAACGCCATCGCACAGGCAAACAAATGGGGAGATAGGTGGGGGAACAAGTGAGGAGACAAGGCAGCAGCGGCAGACAAAACGCCGATCACAGCAGACAAGCGGGAAGACAAGAAGAAAGAGCGAAAGAAAGAAAGAAAGCAAGAAAGGGGATGTCCGCATGTACTTTTTTATTCTGAGGGTCTTCCTTGCTGGCATGGGCTCTGACCTCGTGCACCCTCTCGTTCACCCTCGTTCCGATACCTCTTTGCAACTTGTGTGATACAAGTAAAGTGTCCAGACCCTGGTCCAAAGAGATGTCAAGGGACCACAAGGAGATTAACATCCTTTCCATGCAAGAAGCTTGTTGTGAATACGTGACAGTTGTGCTAGGGACAGAATTCCAGGACACATCAAAAACATTGCCAAATCAGTGCGGCTTCCGTGCGGGAAGACCCCCTCCTGGCGCCGCGTTTCCATTGGGGAACGCAAGTCTTTCCTGCTACGCCGTGACTTCCGCGGCTGAGTGTACCAGTGGGGAGACAAGGGTAGGTCATACTGCTACAGCCCGACACGCTCTCCGACGCGACAGGCTCGTGGCGGACATCGACGATGGCCTCCGGAGGCAGATCCTCCGCTACGTCGGGGGGCCTTTCGTAGGGGTCAGCCGGTGGCTTGCCTGGTGTCATGCTAGGGTCTGATGTGTATGGTTTTATCACGGTTTATTGATGGTAGGGGGGTTATCATGTATGTGTGTAAATGAAATGAACTCTACACAATGGAAGTGGCAGATGGTGGCCAGCAACTTCGAATGAACTCAATTTACAGAAGGCTTCCACATAAAAAACAATGCAAATGTTTGCTTGTCAGAAAACAGAAGCAGCTGCAAAAAGGTGTGTCTCACAATCAGGGCTTGACTCTATAACCAATTTGTCCGGGCAACTGATGGAGTATGTGCATATGTGTGTGTGCCCGCTTCAACTACACCTGACAACATAGGGATGGTTTCTTCCAACCACACTTGATATCGAAAGGCCTGGGTTTCCCGAACATGACCTTTGAACATGCCCCTTTTGGAAAAAGATAACTCCTACAGTGTAATATAGATGCATCCACTGGACATTGTCAAATCTCAATATCCACCGGAGGTCCATGGTGGTCTTCCCTTGACCTGAGGTGGCCAACATTTTGTCAAACGACTACGACGCCATCCCTGCCGACTTGGTGTGGCAGCCAAACGACTGGGTTTGGAGCGTACCTCGTTTTAAAGATCGAGTTGTGACATGAGCGACTTGGCACGTGAGGAACAAAATGGACATCCTGACATCTTGTAAGCATTTGTTCCATAAAAAATTGTGACCTGTATTCTGCAGGTTCAATGACCTAATCATGAGTCCATGACCTGCTCCTTGTGCTTCTGTTGGCTGAGGTGGCCATGGGTTTCATTGCCCCTCGTGGGCTTATGGCCATGGAGGAAAAGCAGGTGGCTCGCTCCATCAGGTGAGGTATCCGCCTGTTAGAAGATCGTTTCGATGGACATGGGTGTTCCAACTCTCATTTTTTAACACGTTGGGTATATGGCGCCTATGTAGGGAAGGCCCTGTTTTGCTCACCTTTGGCCGTGCAGCACACTTTGTGAAGCTCGCAATTAGAATGTGATTGTATAACTGTATCATCATCACTCCTTCTTCTGGATTCTTCTGGGGTGCTCTTGTTTTGGATGCCTGTGTGGGTCAAAACTCCCTTTCCTGGTTGACATGGTCAACGGACCAACGGATCATCCTTTTTTGGGTTTGGTTTTGACCCACAGCCAGGTTGTTCTTTTTTGGGCCTGGGAGTTGTATTCTGCCCTCCACGCCCAGTGACGTCTTCCAAAGCTTGGCTGCAGGCGAGGGACAGGGAGAGGGGAGGTGAGAGAGCAGGAGCTGCAAACGGACCTCGGTTCTTTTGATCCGAAGGTGAGAAGCGACTCCCACAGTCTGATGAATACAGATGAATATTGATAAGCCTCGGCAGGTCCCTCACTCAGTGATCTCAGCATGCTGGGACCCTTTAAGCGAAGCTCAGGTGGTACAGCCCAACAGCGAATCGCGGACGCAAGGAATCTCAGGGTCTTGGCGGCCGCTCTGACCGTGTGGAGGGACCAACGTCACAGTTCAGGCACGTTCAGGCCACACGTTTGACTGTTTGAACCTTTACTTTGCTCCACATCGATGAAAGAAAAACAACAATAAGCTGGATTAGGCTTTGAGTGGCTTTGAGTTCTGAGCCATTTAAGAGCCATATGTGTCCAAAGCTCTCAGGCGAGGGCAAGTTTCGCAGTCATGGCAAAAGAAGTGTGGAATTCCACTAAGTTGCTCATGATGCCAAGCTAGCAGCTTCACAAGCTAAGATGATCACAAGGATACCATGTCTTGTTCCCATTCAAAAGTGGTCCATCGTCATGACGTTATGAACTGCCAAAAAGAACTGTTGGGGACTTGTTCACGCTACGACCCACTGCTTCAAGGAAGCGGTTTGCAGAGCTTAGCAGTTTATGCTGGTTCATCTATTCTTGGGTGGGTTTGTTTGTCCTTTCATTCCAGTATTGATAACTTCAAACTGATGCTCCAAGCAGGGTGAACCCAAGCCTCCAATTGAGGTTCTGCCTGCGTTGGCGGAGATCAAGCAGCAACACGGGAGCGAACCCGGCGCGAGCGCGCGCGCGCGCCCGCATGTGCCTTGTGCCCGGGATGCACATGACTCATGACCGCAGTAATCGTATGTAATCTCAGCGTTCTGGTACTATCCAGCAACGCAGGCAATACATTCCATTGTAGGTGGCCTATGAACGGTCTTTGCCTCGGAAGGCCGTGTGTATTCTTGCTTTTGAGGTGAAATCTCCGCATCTCTCCATGATGAAATGTCCCCTGCCTCCGCCCCCCGGACCCAACTCGTGCTCTCAAGGAGCATTGGGCAGATCCCAGCGCCCTTCGTGTACATCTTGCGGTGCTTCAGCATTCTGGAGGTGGAGTTTTTGTCCGTCTCGGTATCCCTATTTTTTGAGTCGGTTCCTGCTAAATTAAGTAAGCACCTTATATAAATAAGTATGGAAGAAGTAAGCTAGTAGGCTAAGTTAGCTTCTGGGTAGGACGCAGGATAGCTCACGCACTAATGATTTGGTTCCTAGATTATTTATGGAGACCAGCTACTTTTCACGATTGCAAGAGCAGACATTCGTACCTGAGACAACTTCTGGAAAAGCCATCATGAACGAATTCAGGGGCATGGACTCCGCTTGGATCGCAACTACCGCATCGTGGAGGATTGCTACCCGCCGAGATCCGAGATGTGAAAAGGAAGCCCCACATGGACAGTCTTTCTTGCGAATGCTCGATTTGATTTCAACATAAAAATACTACATCATGTTTAAAATATTTTGGAATCATATTTGATTCCTTCTACAAATCTAATTTAATAGGCACCAAAAAATACTGAACATGGATACATATGGTTGCTGCTACAGTACATCATATTTCGCTGCTCTATGCTGTGGAATTAGTCTGGTCTTGCTTGTGTGGGATGCTCTTGCGCAACTCCGACCGGGTTCGCCAAGGTATTTGGCCAACTGGGCCCTCCGGGCCAAAGCCTCGGAGGTCGGGCACGGATTGAGGGGAACCTGGAAAGCAGCCCTGAAAAAGTGGCAGGGTGGAACGGAACACTGGGCATGTTTCTGTTTGGCTGAAATGCTTGTGGTGATGGTGGGATTCTGAACTCACTTTTTGTTTGATGAGGGTATGTGTGGGGAGGTAGAAGACGTCCAACAGGCGAGGTGTTTCAATCCGTCAGAAACTGCCGACTTGGAAACGTCGTGAAACAAGACTGGGACGGATCAGCACATGTCCCACTAGACATGGTAGAAGAATTGTGCTTTGGCGGAGTGTAAAGCTTGTATTTATCTATATAATATTATACTATATATTATATATATATATAGTATTGAATTGATGAGGTTTACCCCCGCTATGTGAGTGATCCATGTGCTTGAGCTGCCGGAGGCTCCCCTCATCCGAAGCGTCTTGTATGGGCCGAGAGTGCAAGGGGCGGTGGCGGTGCCAGATGTGAACCAGGCGGGGAAGAGGGAGGCGAGGGGGAGACATGCCTGGGAGAGACACCAGAAAAAGCGTTGCAAATTCAGGAGCTCATTATGTTGTAAATTCATGTAAATTCAATGTGTGTTGCGATTTGATATAAGGCATTTTTTGAGAAGCGATCATCAACATAGCATCAACTGAGTTGATCAGTTCAATAACGGGTTCAGTCGCTTTATTACGCAGACCAAATCTCCAGCATTTTGAGGTGGAGGTACGCAGCAAGGCAGCGCAGCCAGCAAACTAACCAACATAACCTGATTCCAAGAGACTTTTCGGAAGGGAACTACTCACCTGTGTTGACTTTGGCTGAAGCCAAAATAGGTATATATGTATATGTTGTTCGTGACCTGGTCTGGACCAAAACTCTGTCCTCACAGGTGCTGCGGCTACTTCGGGGCTTGCCACGCTTGCAGGTCGGCTTGGTTGAGTTGTTGAAACATCCATGGATACTCCACCGTGAGGTGTCAAGAAGAATCCCACCAGCTGTATCATGGCTTGAACGAACATATGGCCCACCGACCTGCAGGTTGTAGTCGATGTGTTCCTTGTTGTCACCAGCCGCACTGCCAGGATTTGCAGGAGGCTTCTGAAGGAGGCGCTGATCTTAAGCTGAAGTCTGGGGAGTCAGATAGGCCTACTATAGGAATATCAAGGGGTCGTGCTCTTCAGAACCCACCCAGGAAAGAAGATTGGTGTTTGCGTCACCAACGCAACCACTATCTAGAGGGGTTGCACCTTCTGCCGTCTAAAATATCCAGAATGTTCATGAATATTAATCACACAACTTCTCCAAAAGAATGTCAACGGCCCACGGAACCATTTGGCCATGCAAGACCGAGACTTGTGTAGTGCTGGCCTGTTAATCAGGCCAACTGGCAGAGGAGCTCCGGACATCGCTGAGGAGGCCAACACCGGGCAGTTGGCATGAAGACATGTAACAAGCTACATCGAGCTACTCGGAGCATCTATAAGGGGCTAAGGGATGCCATGGAAAGACTCATTATATACATACATTGTGAATGTGAGGTCACTTGACATCAGTTGCCACATGAGCACTCATCCTCGGTCGTTCCGTGTTTGATGCACTTTGTACCCGAAGCCTTTCTGGGTGGAGGATCACCCGAGGGGCGTGCGCGCGCCGAAAAGCGCGCTTGTGTCAGGGAGTTCCACTGCCACTGTGTGCAAAACACAGTGGTAGCGGAGCCCTGGCATGAGTGGTTCCGTAGATCCTCCTGGCACGGAGGAGTCTGTTTTGCCATGGCGTGATAAGGACCCACCACCGTCCTTCGATGGAGACATCGAGAAGTTCAAGTCCTACTTGCGAGAGCTCAAGATGTGGAGGCACGAGACGGACGTCCCGGCCAAGAAGCATGCGGTGAAAATGCTTCGTGCGTTGACTGGACCGGCCAAGGCCGTTTGCAACGAGTTGGAAGTTGAAGCATTGTTGACCGAGGCTGGCGCCGATGCGATCGTTTCGAAGCTCAAAGAGTACTACCAGCCACACCTGGAGACAGCAATGCCTAAGGCATTCGAGCGAGCTGTTTACGGCGAAGCCCGTCGAAGCAAGGAGAGCATTGGCGAGTTCATCGTGCGTCAAGACGCTCTCTTCCGGGAGTTGAGGGAGGAGGGTGTCACTCTGGACGACACCGTGCGTGGCTACACCATGTTCAGGCAGTCGAACCTCTCCCAGACACAGGAGGACCAGGTCACCACGTGGACACAAGGCAAGTTTGACCGTGCTTCAGTCATGTCTGCACTCCGCAAGCTCGAGAAGGTTCAGCGCGACCGAGGATCTGGCAAGCGTTTCATGGTTGCAGAGCCGGAGAATGACGAGACCTATGAATCCGAGGGTGAGGGTGATTACATCTATTTGGGCGAGGAGGACCTCGACCAGATTTTTGAAGAAGAAGAATTGACTGAAGCTCTTGCCACGTATCAGCAGGTGCGTCAAGCAATTCGTGAACAGCGCAATGGCCGAGGATACTTCCAGCCCAAGGGAGTTGGCAAGGCGAGTCCTGGAAAACCTGGAAAAGGGGCAAAGTCTGGCAGTCCGCTGATCCGATTTGGCGGCAAGGGCACCAAGGTTCACATCGATGTTTTGAAGCTTCGCACGAAGTGCGCCAGATGTGGCCAGATCGGCCATTGGGCCCGTGAGTGCGTCAATGAGCCTGACGCGAAGGGGAAAAGCCGTGCGTCATCTGATGGCACCAGTCCGAAGTCTGGGTTCTTCGAGTCCGGGAACGTCGATGGGGAGTCCTCCACCTTTCAGGTCAGCCTGGGTCAGTGCTTAGCCAAGACAAGAGCTGGAAGACCAAGTGCGCCGATCCCCTTCACTGGCATCACCACTAGCGGGTCTATGGGCATCATCGATACTGCTGCACAAGGCGGTCTGATTGGTCTTCCAGCACTTCGTCGACTAGAGGAGTCTTTGAAAGGGCACGGGTTGAAGGTAGTTTGGACTGGAAAGAAAGCCCAAGCCAAAGGCATCGGAGGAGATGCTCGGGTTCGTGGAGTGGTGGAAATCCCCGTGGGCATCGGTCGAGTGAACGGTGTGATCGAGGCCACGGTGGTCGAAGAAGAAGTGCCTTTCCTCCTCTCCATCCAGTTCCTCAAACAGGTTGGGGCCATAGTTGATTTGCAGAAGAGTGCACTGGTTCTCACCAAGTTTGACAAGTGTTGCCTCATGCACCACATGCCTGTCGCTGCGCCGGTTTTGGAGTTTCATGAAGATGGTTGGCAGCTCCCAGACATGGCATTTGAGCATCATCGCAAGGAGGAAGCATTTCGTTTCTTTTCAGCCGCGTCCACTCAGAGCCAAGTGTTCATGTGGAAGCATCGTGACTCCGCTGCAGTTGAGTGCAATGGACCTCATCTCCCGTCTTCGACAGATCGAGAAGACCACCGGAGAGGAATGGGAGAAGGTGTCCATGAACGAAGCCCGCAGGGCAGAGCGGGCCACTCGCAACTGGCGAGTTCTCATGGAGCATGTGGCCGACTTGATGGAGGTAGCAAAGGCTCATGCAAGGCTCGAAGCTTGGCAGCCCGCTGGTTGTGTGCTTGGTGTTCCACCATGTTCTTCCTTTACCCGGCCAGCATCGGGATCGGAGCCTTTCTCATGTCTGGACGGAGCAAGCCCCATGCAGATTACCAAGGCATCAATCTACGCCGAACTCATCCAGATCGGGGAGTACCTGGGGCAACGGAGGTGCAAGACGGCGCCAGACGCTCACATGAAGACATGCAGTCACCCCTTGGCAGCGCTCGCAGGAGCGGGCAACCAAGCCCAGAGGGAGGTGTGGTGTCGGAAGTGCCATGCTCGTTGGGGGGTCGACCCACAAGTGATGGAGGACATCGCCAACAAGAAGAAGACCATCCATGTGAATGGAAAGATGTTCAACCTGTCAACGACACTCCACCGAGGACTCCAGAGCTCAGCACACCTCGGACGCAGGTGATGGAGTGCTTCTGCAAAGCTCCTGCTGTGCAGCTGATTGTGAAAAAGGAGGGCCCGACTCAAGGGCGGCTGTTCTGGAAGTGTGCCAAGAGACTGTGCAGTTTCTTCGAGTGGGATCCTCAGGAGACTCAAGAACTCCAGAGGAAGCTGATGCAAGAGCGGGAGGACGCCGAGGTGAGAAAGTGGGAGGCTCAGGAGGAGGCAGAGCGCCAGGAGATGGTTTTCTTTTTTTTTTCGGAAGACGATGGAGATGGCGGAGACTCGACATCAAGAGATCCTGGAGGCCACCCGGAGCCAGCATCAATGGGAGGTGGAATCGCTCAGGAACCAGCTTCTATGGATGTCTGCAGTGGCCGGGGAAGCTCGGATGGAGGAGGTGTTCAAGGACCCGGTGCTCCAGCAAGAGATGATGAACAAGGCCATGGCCATGAAGGAGGAGTTGAGGAACCAAGAGATGCACGCTCAGAGCATGACGCAGCAAAGCCAGGGATACCACAGTGGCCAGTAGAACTCAAGTTCCTGATGACGAAGGAGGAGATGGAGAAGGCGCTGCAAGAGGACGCCCCTCGTGTGATCCATCTCGGCGATGAAGCTCGCTGGACCTTGCGGGGCAAGAAGCAATTGGAGGAAAGCACCTATGCACCCTATGAGCGGCAGGTGGCCGACGGCTTTTGGATGCCACAAAGAAATGACATGTGGAGGTTTCACCATGGCATTTTGCCAGAATTCAGTCAAGGAGCCACAGCGGTGCGCTTGTTTGGAGACTCATACTTTCAGGACCACAACTATGAGCCCGAAGAGGAGAAGCAGTTGTCTCGAGCATTCCGCAAGGCCGTGAACACATGCATGAAGAAGCTGGTGATCTCTGAAGTATTCTCACCACCCTGGGTGAGCGAGTATGCTGAGAAGCATGGTCACTTAGCTGGAGGAGCCTTCGACCTGGTGACCGGATATGATCTATCTACGGAGGAGGACAGGCGGAGGTGCTGGAAAGCCTTGAGACAGGCTGACCCGGACATCGTGGTGGTATGTCCGCCACGCGGCCCCTTTTCAATTCTTCAAAGCCTGAATCAGCGGCATCAAGGAGACAAGGCAGCGCTGAAGTTAGAAGAGGGCAAGCAGCACCTACAGTTCGCGATGGAGGTGTTCCGTTGGCAGACCTTGAGGAAGAAACTTGCGATCTTCGAACACCCAAGCACTTCAAGGGCCTGGCAGGAGGAAGGTGTCCAGCAGGTGATGGTGCTGCCAGGAGTTCAACGAGTTCGCGCAGACCAATGTCAATACGGGTTGACTGTGAAGGATGGAAAACCCAACCAGAAGCCCACGGACTTTCTCACCAATGGAGAGCACAGTGCGGTTGCCCTGAGTCGAAGATGCCAAGGAGAACATGAACATCTACCGCTGATTGGAGGCATCGCCAGGCTGGCCCAGAAGTACCCAAGGGGGTTATGCGCGGCCATGGTGAAGTGAGGGAGAAAAGACCTTCTCCACCAGAAGATCTATGTTTGGGCCACTGGTGAGGAGCTCTTGAGAAGGCACGAAGAAGAAGAAAAGAAAGATTTGGAGCAGGCCCAACAAGGAGTGTTGATGAAGAGAAGATTGGCAGCCGAGAGCAGCCATGAGAAAAGGGAGGATGAGGAGCCCGACCACGTGCACGATCACTTGACGGCGGAGGACAAAAGAATCATCCAGAAACTGCGTGTGAATCTCGGACATCCCAGCAACTATGAGCTTAGCAAGGCTCTGCGGTTGGCTCGAGCTCGCAATGCAGTTTGGAGGCACGTGAAGGATGACTTCAAGTGTGACATCTGTGAAAGAAACAAGAAGCCTAAGAGTGCTAGACCGGCTATTCTTCCAAAGACGTTTGAGCCATGCCGCACAGTGGGCTTGGACGTAGTCTTCTTTCCAGGACTGGACGTGCGACAAGTGAGACCAGTTCTGAACATGGTTGATTGGGCCACTGGATATCAGATGTTGGAACCTCTGGACAACACACAGTCCAGCCACATCTGGGAGAAGTTCTACGGCACGTGGGTGAGGACGTTCAGCGTGCCGGAAGTGGTCATCACAGACCAGGGAAGAGAATTTGGCAAAGAACTGGCTGAGAAGGTGTCACAAGCTGGAGCCCTACACCGGGTCATTGGAGCAAGGGCCCCATGGCAACAAGCCCGCACAGAGCGGCATGGAGGAGTGGCAAAGGAGGTCTTCATCAAGCTTCGAGAGAGCATGCTACCCACCAATGACAGTGAGTGGCGCATGTGCGTCCATGCGGTGGAGGCAGCGAAGAACCGGCTCTACAACCGCCCAGGCTTCAGTCCAGCTCAACGCCAGTTCGGCTACAATATGAGGCTGCCGGGATCTCTGGGCTCAGATGATGTGTACGAGTTGCTGATCCATTCGTCGACTGACGACATGAGGCGAGTGATGGAGATCCGGAACACTGCCATGCA